CAACTCTTCCAAAGTGGAAAAGTACACGACTGGGGGCAAAAGGCTTTTAAAAATTAAATGCAAAGACCAAGAATAGCCGATATATAGAAATACAGAAAATATTTCGATCAACATAGACGGGGATATTTGTGTGTCTGAGCACTTGGTACCTGTAGGTACTGTAGTTGGTGAGTATAGGAAATATCGATTTTCTTATTATCCAGATCCTTCTTCTTTGCCAGTGGATATCTGATGTGACTCATTTTGCCACATCATTATAGCTTCTAGCACAATTCATGTGATAGACAATGATGGAAACTTTTTGAGATACCTTACATAGTATAAATGGTATTAATCAGCCTTGTTGTGCGACTATTGATAGAGAAGGCAATCTCTTTGTTCTGAAATATCAGACGCGCACATAAGAATGATAAATTATCTGTACAAACCAGTTCTTAGAAGCTTTAATCCGTAGACTCAAAAAGAAACCCATAAACCCTTGTCATTACACTTGATGTCCTATGTCTGGAAAGTAATATTTTTGTACTTGTATTTGTATAGTACTTTCCTAACATGATTAGGGATATATGACAATGGAAACATTCAATGAATACGATATCCCCTCGGGGTCTGTAGTTTTCCTGAGTTTCCTCTTCCGTTGCTGTTTTCCTTACCTGGAATATTTTTAAGTGATCCAAAATCATTAAAAAAGATGTGCTCTTTTACTACTAAGACCACAACAGATTACTTGATTCTCATCGCCTACTTTCTATCTCACTATTGTTCTTTAAATTTTTCAATAAATGAACATCATATAACTATGTGATGATACAGATGAAAATGTGTTCGATATCAGCCGTTTTGGCAAATGTAGTTCAATCGGAGAAAATTTGAACAGCAATGTTTTTCGCATGCATATTGACCTTGCGTAAGTTGAACCCCTGTTTGTTACTGATATAATTATCCATGATTTAAAAAATATTTTACTCGATATTTATCTATAGACTGGAAAATCAATTTACTGTTTGTAAAAATTCGACTTGATTAAAAATTTGTAATTTCGTCCTGAGACAAAATCGCACAGCAGTACAAGTTAACTGATTACAGAAATTCAAAATTATCAGATTTTAAAATACCTGGTTTATGTGTATACATGTATATTAGATACTAAAAAACCACTTAATTTCATGAATTAAAACTCAACAATTATTCTTGAGTATCCTTTAAGGCATGATAGACAGAGGATGATTGCAGAGCAATTTCTTAGTTCCCGATATTGGGAATGAGCATCATTTGTTGAACGGTCACAACAGCCTTGTGCTCCTTGTCATAATCGGGAAGTAACGGAATTTCAGTTTATAAATAATGGACTAAGAATGAGTATGAAAAACGTCAGTCCGCAGTTGACTCAATGATAATTTGTAGTTGCTAACAAGGTCATTGTATCGGCCATAGAACTTACAATATGATGACTTTATACAAGACTGCTGATATTCTTGTTTTATCAACTTGTTTATCAACAATTTACCTCTTTTAAAAATTGTTCATGCTCTTAAGGATAGTTGAAACAAACAAAAAATGGATGCCTAAATTGGTATATACCTTTTGACCTAATTGCATTGCAAATGATGCAGATAATAAATTTCTAGAATATACAGAAATTGTAAAACTTCTGTGGTGTTCAAAATTCTACCCTTCTGAAACCATTCTTATTATTCTATACAATACTTTCATTTCAAATTGCATTTTTGTGGAATTTTGAATAAAAGATAAAAAAGTACTCAATGAAACTTATACATGTATAATTGTAATATTATTATAATTGTTATAATTGTTAATTGACAAAACGGTCTCCAAAAACAACATAGATGTTGTCAATTAGAAACTCAAGCTTCTTTTTGATTTCGACTTCAGAATACTTGTGTGTACAATCAGAATGTTCTTTAACAAAATAATTTTGCAAAAAACCAATGACCAGGTAATAAATGTACGAGAGCTATTTGTATTGACAAAGCAGCTGTCAATGATATCAAAAAGCCTGGACTTTTATTTATTGTGGGGAATGGTTGTGTATAAAGTTGAAAAGTCACAAGTTTTTAAGCTGTTGAATTTGGTAAAATCTTGTGATTTCAAATTGTCCAAAATTTTCTTGCAATTTTTAAGTATTCACATCTGATTCTTATGAAGTATCGATATCCAATATATATATTTATAAGGTAATTCAAAATCATTTTGCTTCTTTGGGATATTAAAACGATTCAAGACTGACACATGGTTTTGAAGAATTAAAAATTTTGTGAAAAAATGTATGATATAAGATATCAGATTTACTTTCTCCAAAAAGTAAAATACTCATGTAGATTTATTTTTATATAGAAGTACAATGTTTTTAATTGTCTAGTAAATTACAATGTAATTGAAAGAGGAAATATCCAAGCTTTTATGAAGCTGAGAAAATCTTATAATATATGGGATCCTTTATACTTTAAATTCACGATTTTGTTCTGCAATCTTTCCTTAAAACTTCACCTTTCCTTTACTCTCAAACTTCGCAACAATTCATAGCAATTAATTTATAGTATTTTTTTTCAATTTAGCACAAATTTTTGCTTAACCCTATATTAATTTTAGGAAAAAAGGAATAATTTCGTATGACGAAACCTGTACTCTTTAAATGTATTGTAATAGCATTCATGAACACAAAATGAATCGGAAACATTCTTAGACGTTACTGTTCCGATTGAAGCCTAAATTTTAGGTAAAAATACATGACAAATAGGATGTGTGATACCCTTTCGCATGCTAGCAAAGCCAGGGCCTTATCATATAAACTTTCAGTACTGTCGCTTAAAAAAAAAGAAATAAGGGTACGAGTCAAATCACTCAAATAATAAATTCAATCTTCTAGTAAGACTCCAGAAACCTTATTTGTATAAATTAAAGTAATAAGGAGCACACGGGTGTCATTGGTCGACAGGGGATGCTCACTCCTCTACGGCACCTGATCCTACATCTGATGTTTTGGAGATCCGTTTTTGCTCTGCTGTATAATGTTATGGACTTTGATATTGAATACTGTTCGTTATATCCATATCCTCCATTGCATAAAAGAAAAATGTTTAACGAATAAAAATATGAAAATAATTTTTCTATTTTAAAACTCTTCTAACCAAAAGTAACGATAACATTTTTTGTAATTCCTCATCAGAGATGTCGAAGATATGCTACTATTCCTGAAACTTTTATACTTTTATCTTTCTGGTTTTTTTTTAGATTATCACAATTTTTAGGCAATATATTTTATATAATTATTTTATTTAATTAATGGCTACCAAGGTTTTGATTTATAACTTGGTTTTGGAAATTTTACGCTTTATAAATCTTAAAGCGTTAACTTTTTTTATCAATCGCAAATAGTTCCAACCCAGGTAAAATGAGTATGCATGGGGTCGCGATTAAACATATTACACATAATTTCATATTTCAGCATTAAATGTAGACAATAAAACCCTTTTCTTGTATTATCATTTTAAGGGGGGACCTATGTCGTTCTACGTCAAAGCAGCGTTATGTGACGTTACAATAGCGACGTTAGTTTTTACCTGTTGACTTTTGCAACTGTGATATAGGCATAACATTTTTATTAATCAATAACGTATACAATTTACAAAAAGAAAATTTATTCATCATTAATAGCATCTTTATTTGATTTATAGAGTTTTCTAATAATAGAATTCTCTTCCTTTGGTTGATAATTTATAGCAATTCCATTTGTGAAGAAATACCTCGATGATATGCTGATATATATAAGTGCAAAAAGATGGATAAAATTTAGCAAAGAAAGCGGCTTCAATCGGGGAAATATGTATAATTTTATGTCTGGATAAAACTAAGAAAAAAATAAAGAAATGTACTTGTACCTATATTTGCTTATTGATTCATAGTACATGTGTATATTTTAAAGTCATTCCTAGGTTCTCATAGGTGTTGGTTATGACGGAGAAATGGGGGGGGGAGAAACAGAATGTTTGGAATGAAGAAGAAAAGAATTAATCTGTTTAAATTGTTTCTAATCAAAACAAAATACTCGTTTTTCGCAAAATAGTTTTATATTCAGATGTTTGTCAGTGCTTACTTACCTTTTTCAAGGCAGAATGATCAATATTTAGGACACAAGAGCACGAAAATAAAAGAAAACGTCATATTTCTCTTCAATTTTATCATAAAGGAATACTTTTTTCTTTGTTAAAATAAAGAAATGGATCATTTCTTTCCAAAAATATGAAGTTCAACATTTTCACACAAAGACTTTTTAAGATATTACCTGTTATGCATGTCGGAATTGTAAAAAATACGACAAGAAAAACGGGGTGATACTAACATTGTGCCCCATTATAATTTTTCATGCGAGATGAATGACAATGAATTTGCCTTCATTTTAAAGATACAAGTCATATAAATTAAATACCTGTTGATTTTGAATGTGTTTAGCCATTTTTGTTTCTTTTCAGCTCATATTTTGGGAAGAACAATAATGTCTGAAAATGATCTATTTTTAGCATTTCACACTGTTTTTGCACGTGCTCTTGTGTAAAAATAGGCATACAAAGGTACTATTTTTAATACCTAAATATTAAGAGCAAGACGTCAGGGAAAAATGTCAAAGTTTTGAAAATTTCACACAAAGACTTTTCGGACATAGGTCCCCCCTTAAAAGATACGTCAAGCGAAAACATAAGTTCTTGACGTAATTAATTATGACGTAGACAAAATGTTATACGATATAAACTAAATCTTTATCCAAATAAAAGACCTGTTACAAGACAACAAAAATTAATTAGTAATGAATATTTGTAACATTTGAAAAACTATCAAAAGTGGCATTGAAACTTTGAATTAGTAATCTCGAAAAAATGCGATTTAAAATTAATAAGAAGGGAAACAATAGTATAATCAGTATGTGACTTCAGTCGAAAACAAAGCATCATGATAAATACAACACTCACATAAATGTTTTCAGTGTGGGAAAATTTCAAATTAATAACTTCACATAATTCTCAAATTGTTTGAATCAAATAAATTTTCAACTATCTAATAAGGACGTAAGAGAAATCCAGAGAAGGAATTTTCTTGGTATTCTAGCATTCCATCGCAATCTCTAGTTGCTCTCAGCCATACTTCATCTCCTGCAACCAGTGATAGTAAAACAAATGCACTTCCATTTAACTTCGTAGATGTAGCTACTCCAGAAAATGCCAATACAAAATGACAGTCAATATTTTTTGTCAACTCAGCAAGCACATCATCGCCTGATGTGTGAATGTTGAAGAAAAATCCATATAACCCATCATGAGGACAACGAAATATCCCAGTTGATGAATCGTACGCATTTCCCAGGTTAGTAAATATGTGACTAAATACAATTTTTTCTTTTGCTTGTAAACCAGATATCGTTGTGCCGTATTTAATTAGAGCGGTAAAGGCAATATTCACTAGAAAATAACAAATACGTATACAATTAAGCAATATTTAAGGGATGTTAAGAAAAAAGTAGAATTTTAAGTCAATAGAGCTATTATTTCGAACGTATTTTTCCATTATTCTGATCAAGCATTTAAAGTTATTTTGTCTATTACATTTCTATCAGTTTTAGGGTGGACGTAACGATTATGAATGCATACTTATTAATTTCGGTTTCATTGGCAATATCATTGAATAATTACGGCGATTTTAAACTTTTACTATCTGAGGATGTTAACCATGAAATTATCTATCTTAGTTTCACTACTCTAGAGAAGAAGAATCTCTGTAAAGTTTTTTTACTCTTTATATTACTTTATATAAAATTCTCCCTACTGTGTCTTCGTTCTACCCATTGTGGTTATGATGTAACAGACTTAAATTTGCAATATCCGGAAATGTTTGAAATGTCATATAATCAGGTCTGTTTTCTCGGTAGATTGATTGATTAATTGTATATTATTTAACGTCCTTCTCGAGAATTTTTCACTCATATGGAGACGCCACCACTTGCCGGTGGAGAGCTGCAAATTTTGTCCTATACTCGGCACTCAGGGCAATTGAGCAGGGAGGGATCTTTTTCGTGCCAGCACCTACTGCGACACGGGACCTCGGTTTATACGGTCTCATCCGAAGGACCGGTCTCCACGTCCCACAGTGGAATTCGAATCCGCGACGTAAGGATTGACTCCTTACTTCGCGGCACTAGAGCAGACGCTCTAACCACTGTGCCACGCGGGCGACTTTTCTCGGTAGAAGAAAAATACAAATAATGACAGAGCTGATACAGAGCGGAGGATTTTAAAATATCGTTTAATAAATGTATTAAATGTTAAGGGGTCAAATGCACTGAATATTTCCTGACAATATTTGCATATTAAAATGATTTATAATACCTTCTTGTACTCGGTTATTAATTTTAAAATGGATATTACATTTGTTCCGGGCATTTAGAATAAACTGATGAAAGTTACCAATTACGACGGCATAGACAACTACAAAAAACAAAACGTGATAAGATTTTATGTTGAACATTTTCATAAAAACTCAGTCGTTGGACCAGAAGTATAATTTTACGATTTAGTTTTTGTAATATATTCTTTTAATATATGTCGTATTTCTTTTTATATATATCGATGTCTTCTTTACATTCTGTAAAATCTTTTCGGAGGGGGGGGGGGGGGGGGGGTCGTTGTTTTCAAGGTATGGAGACACCAAGAATTCATAACCACCACGAAATGTAAAATTTATGCATTACTTCTCACCATATCTCCACCACAAAATCAAATCCCAACATATCAATATTTTCTACATCCTCGAAAAACTATATCCATGAAAATATGTAATTTTACAGTATACATGTGTATATCACATTTCTCTTTATGTATACCGAGGTTTTGTTGATATATTTCGCATTTACTTTATCTATATATATCGAGGTTATGTTAATATAAAACGAAATTCCTTTATATATATCGAGGTTTTGTTTATATAAAACGAAATTCCTCCATATATATCGAGGTTTGCTTTTAGATACTGCTATTCCTTTTTATATACAAGTTGGCACTAATGGGCATGTGTAACTGACAAAATAGCAACAAAATGCAAGACCCCCCCCCTCTCTCTCTCTCTCTCTCTCTCTCTCTCCTTACAACTTAATTTTCCTTCTAGTGATCTTTTCTTAAATTCCAGTCGTTGAAGAGCAGCCTTTTGTTGTGTAAATTCAAGTTTCATAGTTGAGTTGATCGTGTTTGAAATGTGCTTGTATTAGTCTTTTATGCCTGTTTTAAAAAAATTGTTTAAAAGAAAATTAAAAGTATTTTAATTTAAACGATTTAAATGTCCATTAATATCACTCATAATATTAATTAAATGTATAAATATTACAAAACATTTTTTGTTTTAATTTTTAAACAGTGCCTATAGAAGAGATATTGACATGGCGTGTATTACGTTTGAACGAACGAATAAAAAACACTGTCTGTAGTTATTACTTAAGTTTCTGCTTGTAAGCTCGCTACATCTTACATATATTTTGTTCCTGCTTTCCCTGAAATTAGGGAATATTAATTTTAATCTGTAACAATTTCGTCTCAGCATGATATCTCAAGAGGTCTTTATCTCCCTATATCGGCTAAAAATATACATGTACCTATTGACTTTGCCTTTAAACAGTCCATAATTAACGTACTAAAATTCGAAATTCTATATGTTACACTTTTTTTCTAGAGGCCTTTAAGCCTTTTCAATGATTTTGTATATCACACCTCTTATTGCATTAGGAAGACAGTATTGATTTGATAAGGTCAAGACAGAATATTTGTACACAATCTGTGTGTTAAACTTTAAATTCAGTGCGATATCTAAAGAAATGACTTGGGAGCATTAGCAATAAAATTTTATATCATAGAACTTTGCGACCCCGTATCCTCCTAAAATGTCCAACACTCTTCCTATCCACTGTTAATAAATAAATTAGCTTGTTTATTTCCTCTCTACTTCCGCCAAAATATGACTAAACCAATTGCCGACTCGGCGTTACTCAAAATTTAATCAATAAATATGTTTACCTTTTATTTCTTCATTAATTAAGATCTGTGTTGAACTTTGTTGTTGAACTGTGCTGTTATGTTGACTTTCTAGGCTGTTAAATGCATGCATAATTTCCAAATATGTGTTTCCAAACAGTGTCTGTAATAAATAGATAAGCGAATCTTAATTAAAGACCTATTTTTTAAGTTAGTTTTATTCTCGGGTATGGCATAAATTCTAGTTAAGTGTATTAAGTGTATTGCTATTTTTTTTAGAAATAAAAATGTTCTTAAAAGGGCAATTCTATTTTAAATGTATTAGTGTGTAAGATTGATCTACATTCCGGCCTATCTTTGGGCACCACCAATTTGACCTTTTGACCTTGACCTTGGAGTTTGACCAACTTTTAAACAAAATTTTCAAACTTTTACTTTGGCTATATCTTTTGAACGGAAGAAACTAGAATTTTTTATATTACACATACGTATTTTTTGTGACAATGCCTTTCATAGGATACCAACAGTTTTGACCTTTTGACCTTGACTTTTGAGAATTTTGTACTTATGAAAAAACTTTAACCTTGACCATAACTTTTGAACAGTAAAGGTTAGGACATTCATACTTCACATATGTAATCCTCGTGAGAAGACCTTTTGTTGTATATCAAAAACTTTGACCTTGACCTTTGACATACTTTTCAAAAACTTTAACCTTGTTCACAACTTTTGAACGGTGGATACAAGGACTTTCATATTTTACATATGCATTATTGTGGCAAGTATGACACCTGACTTAGAGAATATTTCCAACTACCCCAGATTCAGTCCAAATTCAAAATATGTTGAAAAAAATGAAACCGAAATTCTTTCAAACAGAAGAGCAAAGAAATGAAATAACATTCATTGATAAAATAAAAGCATCCGAGTTTACCAATATAATATTCAAATATTTCAGTTTTGGTACGACTTTACTTTTACCTTCATTTTAATAGTAAAGACCTGAGACAAACCGAGCGACACTAAGTCAAATGTCATACTTTCGTTTTCTGCAGAAGCCAAGGAGTTATCGATTTTGGATGTTTACGCAATAAATTGACCAAGACTGTAAATGTAAAAAGAGAAAGATTAAAACTACAAGTAAGAGCTTCAAGGAAAATCATTAATTAAGGGATATGAACTGGCTCGAATGTCTAGTTTAACAATTTAAGCGAGAAAATAACTGATGAAGCGAGGTGGTATCCGACATGGCGTCCTCCCTTGTGTTATTTTCTCCTAGGTACTAATTTTTAAACTGATTTATTTTCTCTACACAAGCCCCTGTGATCTAATCAAACATTTAAATTCATCTCTATTTAAGAACTTACAAAAACCTTAGGTAAGTTTAAGAAATGATATTTGAGTGATTTGAATTGGAGCTGTATTTAAAACTTTAATATTTACTTTAGCCTCAATTGAAATTCCAGTTACCACAGCGAATCTAGAATATGTGATTTATTTTTGTTGTAATAAATATGAATCATATTTTTGAATAGATATAACTTTAAAAAAATCAATGCTAGTCATATGTAAAAAGAAGAAGGAACAGTTTGGGCTTTATTGTGTCCTCAAAATTTTATGTTCTTAAATAGTTATGAAATCGACTTCAGAAGAGTAGCGTGGATATATATATGGTAAATCACTAAAGAATATGGCATAGAGGAGGACCCTTCTGGAAATATGACGTCAATAATTTGATACATTTCTAAGTTTAATGCAGAAAGGCCTCAGAATGACTAAATTTTGTGCTTATTTTCCTTTAGAAAAAAACTGTTTGCCCCGTCATCCACTTCAAGTTTTGGATATACATGTATTATGTAAACTGCTTTGAAAAAGCACATATCTCAAAATCTATACTCTGACAATATGGGCGACGATGTCAGAGTATGTTTTCTGAAAGAAAATATTACTGAAAATTTATGTCTTTTGCAACTTTTTAAGAAAATAAAGGAAAATGCACAAGTGAATGACGTCGCAATAAGGAATTAGGAGGTGATATGAGCAATACTTTTGAGTATTTTTATTGCATGAAATTCCTATGAATTAGAAAATATAAATTTAGAATTTTTACATCAATTTCATATTTTAGAAAAATACAGGGCTTAACTAATTTGTATGAAAACGGTACCTTGTTCTTAAGAATTTTAATAATTAGAATAAATATCAATTATGCATAAATTTTGAATTTATATGCAGTTATAAAAATCTATATCCAAATACCTTCATATCCGCAATTGTAGACTTTAAATCGTGGATGATAAGATCCTGATTTGAGATCTGTTGAACGCTGCCATGGAATAATGTTAAAAGGTTTTGCAAAGAGGCGTTGATGTTGTTGGAAGTTTGTTTCCATCTTGAAAGCTCAAGTTTGGTGTTATTAATAGCTTTCTATTGTAAATTCATCGCTTGTTCAGAACGAAGAGACGTCTTGTTGTGTTTGCATCACATGAACAATTGGCCAAAACCGAACTTGTTTGCAAATGTACCCCGAAAAACGTCAGGAAAATGAAGTATAATGGTGAAGCCATTCTGTAACTGACTGAGGAACTTAAAACATTTTCAACTTTTATATCAGAGTACTAGTTACTAAAAAAAAATTTCAATATACTTAAGAAAAATAAATTGTTTTACCTACGGAGAACATTAAGTCACCCCTTGAGATAAATTTTGTTTCTGTCGTACACATACCTATATTGCTGTGTAATGAGCTATTTTCATCCATTTATCATATTACTTAAGTGATAAAATGTCAGGTTGCGACTTTATATTTACGAATTTGCACTTCTTATCTTTTTTCAGCATATCAGATTTAGAGATGTGTCATTCTCATTTGATACAAATTGTTCATTGTGTGAGAACTAGCTACAAGGAAGTCTTTAACTTTAGAAAATAACATTTCGGCTTTCTTTCTAGAATAAAGGCCATTTCAGCAGACTGATTGTCAACCTTTACATTATCGCATTATGCATTTCACTTAAAGATAGTTTTTGTTTTGTGTTGGTTTGATTTGGTATTTTTTCTGCTGACTTCTCAATGTCGCTGAGTGCCGAGTAAAGAGCATACTCTGAAACTTCTCAGAGTTTCATGTATATGATCACGTCTCTATATGAGTGAAAAATGCTCAAATACAACATAAGACAACAATCAATCAATAATTTTATGAGTCATTCGTGTAAAATGGTTTTATTCTTTATACCTATATATAAACCATAATAATTCCTACTGTATAATAAAATGAAATATTTAATTTTATTATTTCTTTTTTATTATTCATACAATTTAAATAAAAATCGGAATTTTCAATATCTTGTGCGAGGAAATAAAAAAAACTTTTTTGATAAAAATTGCATTGATTTTACGCATAGGCTTTCTGTGAATTAAATATATTCAACTGATGAATGTGTAACTTATTTTCAACCCATGTACATTCTTTTGTTATCAGGTCCTCAAAACATCTTAGGCTATTCTGATGGATACTTATTTTGTTAATTAATCATTATGTCTAACTCGCCCACGTGGTGTAGTGGTTAGAGCTTCTGCTCTATTACAGGGAGCTGGTCCTTTCGTCGCGGGTTCGAATCCACTGCGGAATGTGAAAGCCAGTCCTTTGATTGAGAATGTTTAAACCAAGGTATCGTGTCGCAATACGTATATGCACAAAAAAGATCGCTAACTGCTCATGGGTACTGAATATATATATATATATATATATATATATATATATATATATATATATATATATATATATATATATATATATATATATATATATATATATATATATATATATATATATATATATATATATATATATATGCAGTCCTCTAACAACGAGTGGTGGCTTCACAATATGATTGGGAAAAAAAACTGGCGTTAAATACTTTATATCGTAGACATTGGTTTGCGCTTAAAAAAGATTCAATCCGTAAGTGTGTTGGAACAGTTTGTTTCTTTAGTAAATTGCTCCACGGTTTAGAAGGTGTTCGAACTCACTCCAATACATCTTAATCTGAAAATGAATTTGATTAAAAAAATTAAATTGTAGATTAATACTAAGTTGAGCTTAATGTTTCTTATACAGGGTTGTTATGTCATAACACCAAACATTAAAGATTTTCAAAAAGCAAAATTAAATATAAGGTTGTGAAAAAAGCCTCTATTCCATGAGATGAAAATAGCATATAAAGCGGGACGAGAACAACCGAAGTGAAGTTAATTCCTCAGCATGTCATGTATTTATGCACATAGTAAAAAGCTACATTTTAACTTCGGGGCAAATTTATATTTCTTAGAACATTCCCTTTTTTTTTTATAATGAAACGATATTTTTCATCTTCTTTTTAATTAGAAACATTTATTTTCAGAATTCGCAAAAATGCATTGTTCAAAATATTCTGGTCCATTGCTTGATATTTAAAACAAGAGGCCCATGGGCCACATCGCTCACCTGAGTACTAAGGCTAGGAAAAAGTAGAAAATGGTTTTTATTGTAAAGTTCAAATCCAAAAGAAGTCCCATGACCAATCATGGATTTGCTATTTTTTAGAAAATGATTTTTAAAAAATTTTCCTATATATTTCTATGTAAAACTCTGGTCAGCCATTTTGGCCCCGTCTTACCGGGGGAGGAGGGGGAGGGGGTGTGGTGTCATAATTTGAACAAACTTGAATCTACACTACCTTAGCATGCTTCCATTTAAATATGATGAATTATGTCTTTGCTATTCTTGAGAAGAAGATTTTTAAAGAATTTTCCTATATATTTCTGTGTAAAACTTTAGTCGGCCATATGAATATGATGAATTATGGCTTTGTCATTCTTGAGAAGAAGATTTTTAAAGAATTTTCCTATATATTTCTATGTACAACATTGGTTGGTCGTTTTGGCCCCGTCCTACCCCTGGGGTCATGATTTGAACAAACTTGAATCTACACTAACTGAGCATGCTTCCATTTAAATATGATGAATTATGGCTTTGCGATTCTTGAGAAGAAAATTTTTAAAGAATTTTCCTATATATTTCTATGTAAAACTTTGGTCATCCATTTTGGCCCCGTCCTACCCCTGGGGGTCATGATTTGAACAAACTTGAATCTTCACTACCTGAGCATGCTTCCACATATACATGATGAATTATGGCTTTGTCATTCTTGAGAAGAAGATTTTGAAAGAATTTACCTATATATATTTCTATGTAAAACTTTGGTCGACCATTTTGCCCCCCTTCCCCTCCCTTCCCCCGGGGGTCATGATTTGAACAAACTTGAATTTACACTACCTGAGCATGCTTTCATATAAATATGATGAATTATGGCTTTGTCATTCCTGTAAAGATTTTAAAAGACTTTTCCTATGTATTTCTATGTACAACTTTGGTCGGCCATATTGGCCCCGCCCTACCCCCGGGCGTCATGATTTCAACAAACTTGAATTTACACTACCTGAGCATGCTTTTATATAAATATGATGAATTAATGGCTTTGTCATTCTTGAGAAGAAGATTTTTAAAGAATTTTCCTATATATTTCTATGTAAAACTTTGGTCGGCCATTTTGGCCCCGCCCTACCCCCGGGGGTCATGATTTGAACAACCTTGAATCTACACTACCTGAGCATGCTTTTATATAAATATTAGGAATTATGGCTTTGTCATTCTTGAGAAGAAGATTTTTAAAGAATTTTCCTATATATTTCTATGTCAAACTTTGGTCGGCCATTTTGGCCCCGCCCTTTCTCCGGGGGTCATGATTTGAACAAACTTGAAACAAAACTACCTGAGCATGTTTTTATATAAATATGATGAATTAATGGCTTTGTCATTCTTGAGAAGAAGATTTTTAAAGAATTTTCCTATATATTTCTATGTAAAACTTTGGTCGGCCATTTTGGCCCCGCCCTACCCCCGGGGGTCATGATTTGAACAACCTTGAATCTACACTACCTGAGCATGCTTTTATATAAATATTAGGAATTATGGCTTTGTCATTCTTGAGAAGAAGATTTTTAAAGAATTTTCCTATATATTTCTATGTCAAACTTTGGTCGGCCATTTGGCCCCGCCCTTCCCCCGGGGGTCATGATTTGAACAAACTTGAATCTACACTACCTGAGCATGCTTCCATATAAATTTGATGAATTATGGCTATGTCATTCTTGAGAAGAAGATTTTAAAAGAATTTACCTATATATTTCTATGTCAAACTTTGGTCGGCCATTTTGGCCCCGCCCTACCCCCGGGGGTCTTAATTTGAACAAACTTGAATCTACACTACCAGAGAATGTTTCATCTTTCCTGGCACAGTGGTTCTCGAGAAGATTTTTAAAACATGCCACCGAATTTTTATTAATTCCCAATTGTCTTCACTTGAATGAGGACGTGGCCCTTTATTTGAACAAACTTGAATCCCCTTCACCCAAGGATGCTTTGTGGCAAGTTTGGTTGAAATTGGCCCAGCGGTTCTTGAGAAGAAGTCGAAAATGTGAAAAGTTTACAGACAGACGGACGGACAGACAGACGGACGGACAGACAGACGGACGCCGGACAAAATGTGATCAGAAAAGCTCACCTGAGCTTTCAGCTCAGGTGAGCTAAAAATCAAGATCTAAAATCATAATAGTTCTTTCTTGTTGGAAGTTTTTAACTCACTGATATTAGAAAAGATTAATTATTGAACTAATCAGACAAATATTTCTCTTTCAAGACAAATTCTTAGTTAACAATAAGACCATATTCTTTCCGGCTGCAAATATAAAATCATGATGAGTTTGGGTAGAATAATTCATTTGAAGATACAAGTATCATTTTTATTACAAAAACTCATATTTTAAGAAACTAAATATAAGATATACATATGTAAATATAAAAAATATCTTTACAACATCTTTGTTAATTGTCAAAGAAAATAAAATGAAAGCAGAATGTACACTATAGATTATGTAAAGTATTGCTACGAAGATCTACATTATTTTGATCAGTGATTATTTAGTGCAATCATAAAAAAAACAATATACAGGGGAAACAAAGAGGATTGTTGCCTTAGTGTGATTGACTTAAATAAAAATACCTCGAAAAACAGACGTGATATTTCATTCTATTTTATATTGTATGTGCAGTTCATTTAAAGGCTGTTTACAATTGAATTATGTTTTGTTCCTCACAAATGGATCATTATTCCGAAATGAGGGCAAGAGGATTCTAATATCAAATATTTGAATATATCCTTTATTGTTTTCATCCGATTTCATAATTCATTTTATGACGCCTTTCTGTGTGTTAAACTTCCGTTATCTGTTGTTGTCGAGAATAGCTGTATACAATAGAGCCATATAAACAAATAAAAAACCTCTGAAAGTCTGCATTGTATATGTAGAATATTTTTTTTTACTGATAATACCAATGTACCCTTTTTTGAGACGTGGTTGTGAAGTAAAAGCATTTTGCTTTTCATTTCATCAAAATAAATAGAAAATAAATATACATGTATCTTCTTTTATTTAAGTATTCCAATTCAAATCCCTATCAA